TCCCCGATCAGCGTTAATATTGAAAGTGTCATATTCATAAGGATTCGTGTCTTGATCATTATCTTTTTCAAGTTGAAAAAATACAAAAACATGCTTTACATTGTCAATGGTTGGGCCTATCTGAAAAAATCCTTTCGATCTTGTGGAAGGTGATTATTTAAACATTTCCTGTTTATAAGTCCATATCTTAACTGTATTAAAGTTTTACAGAAACTGTTGATAAAGACTGGCTTTAGGAGTTAATCTTGGAACCCATAAATAGAGGCGATCGATAACAACACGACCATCATCAACTGCAGCTGAGTTCCAAATCAGATCTGCATCTCTTAAAAGATTGACAGTAAAATTGTAATTGCATTGGTGGTAATATTCGATTCTCAAGCTCTTCAAAAAATGAATAACGATTCAGAGGAATCTTTACGTTCAGATTATTATTTCCAGTTGTCAACAATCGTCGAGCTTCAAATCCAATGTAATCCTTAAGTAATGCTAAATGAATATTATAATCACACATCTCTTATACTATAAATAAAATAAAAAAATTAAGCGTTTTAATTTGAAAACAAAATTAAGAAGAAGCCATTTTAAGTCTGTGTTTTATGATTTTCATTTTTCCGTAAAGTTTAAAATCTCTGGATGTTTGGATTTTTTCATATCAGTTTACAGATTTATTCCAGATCATTTTTTACAGATCAGTTTTTACAGATCAGAGTAATATATATTTCACGGATGGTTTCAGATTTTTAGGCCCTAGGGTTGATGATCTAAACCGCTCAATCACTATACTGCTGAAGAAAATGTAACAAATGATTAACCTTTATTATAAAGAGTGAATGTAATACAACTTTTGTTTTAGTATTATTCGAGTATAATACGCCTTTGATGATAATTTTTGAAATTAAAATGCGCAATAAAAGCAATAAAGTTAATGTTATTAGCGAAGGTCGCATCCCAATCGGCGGAACTAACATTCCAAATTTGATTGAACGTTGTCCCGTAGACATCGCGGAGGGATCTGAATTGAAACAGCGAACCTATTCAATCTAATTGAGTCACAAGAACAATAACAAAAGCAATAAAATTAACGTTATTAGCGAAGTTCGCATCCCAATCGGCGGAAATAACATTCCAAATTTGATTGAACGTTGTCCGGTAGACATCGTGGAGGGATTTGCATTGAAACAGCGAACCTGTTCAATCTAATGGAGTCACAAGAACAGAGGGAATACCTTATTTTGGAAGAAAGCATTGGCATCGAAGGGGTCGCTAGTGCAGGGACCTTAGGTACGATTTTGAAAGATGATGCTCTCTTTTGATCATATGATCGGAGGTGGAGACACGCATGAGATGGTCCCACCTGGGCGGCAACACTACTTGGAATCGTTAAAGTATTACTGACCTAAATGAATACAATAAATTGTTGAAACGGATCACCGATGGCGAAACAAGTTTTTCTCTGAAGCAGCATCCAAGCAATATAGAAAAATTTAGTAGGCTGCAAGAGACATAGTAGCCACATGATCACTTGTCTTCTTCCGTGATAACCACTGGAGTAGTCGGTGGATGATCTTGCATGCCAGGTCAAAACAACATGGCGGCTACACAATGTGAGCGTGTACCATCCTTAAGAGGTTACCGCGACTCCCTAAGCGCTCAGAATCAACAGATGTATGACGAGAAGCTAAAATTTACTGCAGGAATTGATCCCTATGCCGTCAGTGACAACTTTTACTCGCAGTCAATGGACGAATGGCCAGAGATCGAGTTCCTGATATCGTGAGCTACTTGCTGTTCTCGACGTGCAAGTTCACCAAGGAGCAACTAAAAGCATACAAAAGCCTGCAGTCTTACCAATACTTCGTCGCTGGTTGGGTAAGAAGTATATTTGTGGGAAAAGCTACTCAAGACACGAAAAGTTTGATCGGAAAGCTAAGGAAAACCTTTCGTATATGACGTCGTTGAAAATACTGAACTGTTTTGACAAGTTTGTTTACATGAAGGTCTATCAATAAAATCTTCAAAGCAGTCAATAATGACAGTACGCGAAGAAAACTTATCTCTGAAGAAGGCTGACAAAGTCAGTTTCAGTTCCTCTCTCTCTGGCCATTTGGTATTCGGCCATTTCACTAAAAATGCCATAGATGTAAATATTACACAGGTCTGGAACACTCTTGACACAGTAGATGCATGAACTCCAAATCGGTAGGCCAAGTCTTGCACTGAGAGATTCAATCTGAGACGCATGAAAGTTATGAGGAGTTGCTGAAATTTACTGATTGATTTTTGTTCAGGCAGTGCAGGACTTATGAGGTCAAAAACATGCATCGGTCATCATCCTCATGGCTGTCAAACCGGTATAAAATTTCACCCTCTCTTCGTCAGCTTCAAATGAAGACTTTGATAGGACCGAATTTTCATCCTCCTGTGATTGTTTCAAGTTTTCTAGTTCCTCTATATCCTGCATAGAAAGGTCACTTTAAATGGCAACAAAAGTGTATGCGAGTGAACGTGTTTCTTCCATCGCAGATGCTTCCACATAAATGTTCTCCTTCTCGCCATCACCCTCTCCAATAATGTTCATCTTGCTCTCGCAGTCCATTTTTTTGAACAATTCTTGAACACATTTCTGCTTCTTGCTTTGCCTTTCCCTGGTTCGTTTTTGTCGAGCTAGAGCAGATTTGGAACTTGTTTTCGAGACAGAACTTGAAGAATGTCCCATGTTCTTTGTCGGCGCCCAGTCCGGAGGCGTTTCGTCGTAAAGATCTGCCGGCTTTCCTAGAAATAAAAATGAGACATTAGCTTTCAGCCACTTCAAAAGTAACATGCAATGATTTAAATCATTACAACTGTTTCAAGATTCTCACCTTGAAGGATTTGAATAGAACACATACCTGGATACTTGACGTCGCCATTTTTCACTGCATCTCTCCTGATGTTTGCGATCCATCTATCGTGCCTTTTTGCGAAATTTCTTACGTGAACACGCCCTGGTGCTTAAATACGGTAGGAATTTTTAAAAAAGAAATTTGGTTATCTCTATCTGAGCGGCTGGAGCATCCGAAAACACAACAAAATCTTCCTATAGTGGCGAGATACCTTCAGAATCTTTTTTATCTAGATTGGACCTGGCATGCAAGATGGCGGCCTAGTTACGGCTGCTATGATATCACGTGACGCGTGCAAAACCTCTAGAGCAGACTTCTCACATGGTTTTCGCGGCCACGTGCGCAAATAGCCCCTTACGCAAACGTCCCTACAAAACAAATTTGCATCGATGCTACAGTAGCTAAGTTGAGAGATGAAAACTCAGAAGCCCTTAAAAGAAATCACTTTGTCGAAATTATTGGCACTTCAGATTACCCAATTGGCAGTGTCATTAGATCTCATGAAGTCCAATGTTCTGAGAGAGAATGGTGTAAGACCGTCAGTGCCTCTGGATACTCTTCGATAAAAAGTTCATTTGTCCCAATGTATTAGAATCCTCCCCTAGGTAACCGGGCGCCTGTGACATATCTTGACCTTCACACGCGTGAAACTTCTGAAAATTATGAAGTGATTCTTTAGCAAGATTGCTTAATCCTTTAAAACAAAGAAAAAATATTCACTCAGAAAGATGATTCTGGAGCTGTGGTTTTGAAAAACGTGACGGAAAGGAGTCCATGTCAGGGATTGGCATTGTTACTGCTGGACAATATACGAACCAAGAGCACTCTGGTACCATTCTGTCGCCGTTAGACATTGCTCTCGAAAAATTGTCATTGAAAAGGGGAAAACAACTGCAATTAGTTTGCCAACAGGACATGCAACCCAAACAGGAGGACAGACGCATAAATCACGTCACCATTAACAATGTGTTGCTCGTTTATTACATAAAACAAATATATTCCGTGTTGTCGTGTTTCTGTTGTTTAGTATATATACCTACATATTCGTAAACAACTTAAACCTGTATTGATATTTCAGTCTTTCTGTTACAATGTGTTAAAATCAAACTGCGTAAAACAAA